ATTTTTGATCGATAAGAAGGCAATTGAAAAAAAAAGAAAAAAAATGCAGGATGAAAGGTACGATACCTTTTTCCCAACAAACTTGAACTTTAAAAAAAAATTGGAAATTTAGAAAATGTACACAAGGAATAATTTTAAATACATATTATTAAATATTAATTACCTGATGCAGCCATTACTAAATTTGGTTTATCGGTAGGCTTTCCCTCAGCGATTCTTCTTTTTTGCCACAATTTTTTCATCGCTAACACGGCTAATATAATGGCTTCGGAAGAACCTATGGTTGAAACACCCATTGCCTCAGCTGTTGGATCTTCCATAGGAGCATTAAAAAGACGGGCAATAATGTTGACACAGCGATTCTATAACGAAGAGTTTGAATGGCATAAGTTTGGAATTGTAAATTGTGGGAATAATTAATGACAGGAATAAATGGACTTTTAAAATTAGATCAACTTATACTGGTCATTATGAAGATGCGAAAACCGTCAATGATCTTTTAAAAGTTAAAAATGAGGAAAATGGTTGGGATGTACCAATTCATATTGATGCTGCATCCGGTGGATTTGTCGCTCCGTTTGTGAACCCTGACCTTGTTTGGGATTTTAGGTGATCAAAATTTTTTACTCTTACAATCTCAACATTGTCAAATTTAACTGTAATTTTAATTCATTATTTTTAATTCATTATTTGATAAATTTTATAGGCTTGACTTGGTCCGTTCTATCAACGTTTCTGGACATAAATACGGATTATGTTACCCAGGTATTGGTTGGGCAATTTGGAAATCTTCAAAATATTTACCAGAAGAGTTGATTTTTAATGTGAACTACCTTGGATCGGACCAAGTACGTCGCTTCTCGTAAATGAAAAAAATTTTTAACTCTTATCATTAAGTTTTTTTTTCTTTTCTTTTTTTTTTTTTAAGGCGTCTTTTACACTAAATTTCTCCAAAGGCGCTGCAAATGTGATTGCCCAATATTATGTACTAATTCGAAATGGACGCAGTGGATTTACATCAATCATGACGAATTTGATGGAAATTGCTAATTATCTTGCTCAAACATTGGAAGATACTAACATTTTCGAAATTCTTAGTGATAGAAATGGTATTGGATTACCACTTGTAGCTTTTAAGTTAAAGCTTAAGGATATTCACTATGATGAGGTTAGAAAAAATTTTTCTGATTATCGTGTAATTTGTTAAATTTATAAGTTTAATCTATATAATCTTGTTTAACAGTTTGATGTAGCTGCACGTCTCCGTGAACGTGGGTGGATTGTACCAGCTTATACGATGGCACCACATACTGAGCATATTAAATTGATGCGTATTGTAGTTCGAGAAGATTTTTCACGTGAACGGTGTGATATTCTAGTCACTGATATTAAATCTACGATTGAACTTTTGAATAAATTGGACAAAGAGACTCTCCATAAGAAAAGGTTTGTATTCTTTGTAATATGTATTTTTGTTATTTCTTGTATATACATTACTGATTTTGTAATTTTCTTTATAGAACTGCAAATGCAAGTTGGAGTCTACTAAAAGGCGTTACAAGAGCTACTTTTGGTGGTGTTAAAAATAAATCACATAAAACTAATGGTGTTTGTTAAAGAAATTATCAAAGTCGATTCGATTTTTATGTATTATTTGTATTATTTTGAGATAGTTTATTTATTTCAATTTTATTTTACGCTTTATTTATTAATTATTTGTTCTATATTTAAGTTGAAATAAAAAATCGCAACGATTGCATGTACATATACATGTGTGCCTAAATTTGGGAAGGTTTACGGCATTACGGCATTTTTTATACATATTTTCGGCAGCTTCTTCAAAATGCCTAAATGCCGAGAATAATTATGGTTGCCCAAAAAATAAATTCATAATTTGCAGCTATAGATCCTACTTCTTTTGGACAACCCTCTAGCTAGTGCTCAGCACAATCAAACAAAACTTGACACTCAAAGACTCGTAATTAGTCGGATATCCTTACACATTAATGCGCGCATATACAACTAATTTTGATCTATGATCGTTTGATACCCGACTAATCACAAGTATTTGAGTGTCAAGTTTTTGTTTAATAGTGCCGAGCACTACCTCTGTAATTTCACCAATCGAATTTCAAATCTACTTTTTTTTTTTTTACAAAAAAAGAGAATAGTCCTAAATGCTAATTAGGGAACCTGTTTTTGCAGCCTAATTAAAGATGTTTCGCGTGAAATTTTACTAATAAATGATGTATTGTTCTAACTCTAACCATAACGCGGTTTTACTGGCTTAATTTTACATGCAACTTTTTTCTTTAAAAACAAAATGTGAATGTTTTAATTTTCACGTTATATCTGATCTACATTTTTTTGTAGATGCGCTATCTAAAATCCTTCAGACGACCTTTATAGATAATTACAGATACAGTATTATCATAGAACATATAAGTGTCCGGAGCTTCAATCTTTACATAAGTGATAAAAATGTAATCTTTTTGATACATTTGCAAAATAGTAACTTAGAAAACTTTTTATCGTTCGCACGCGTGTATAATTCGTAATAAGAAATACCGATACATAGCACGCGTTGTTAATCATATAATAGGCTCCTGACGTATATTACTGCACATTATCTGATCATTTTAAAATGTCTCATCGTTTTAAAATATTTTATAAAATATTTCATATTTGAAAATTTGGCGACAAACCCTAAATATTTTAAGCTCTCATGTATAATAATGATTTCAGAAAATATTTTCGTTTTTGGAAAATATTTTCGTCAGCCGAAATTATTTTTGGCAACCGAAATTATTTTAGACAGTCGAAATAAATATTTTCAGCAATTTTTTATTTACGGCAAGCCAGAAATAATTTAAACACCCACTTATACATAGTTCTCAAAAAGTTAAAATTTTAATGTTAAAAAAATAATATCAAACGCTCTCAAATAGAAGATATTTTCCAATAATTCATGCACATAAAAATTGTTAAGCATTCTCAGATAACACTAAGAATATCAAAATTTAAATACTGATTATCACACTTTGCATGATAAGTTCGATCCCGTAAATTCACCTCGTTATCTATTGATCGTACGATCTTAATTCTAGACCTGATCTAACACTCGAATTGTAGCTTTTATTGCCATTTAAACCCAAAGTTATCATAATATCTTTCGCTGATATGAATATACTAACACACATTTACACGAAAAAGATACTATACCGAGAAAATTCCACAACACATCAATGTACATAAGACTTATTAAATTCATATTTGATTTATTTTTTTAAAAAACAATTTACAAACTTTGTAATAAAACGAGACGGTCGTTGCTGGGAATCGAACCCAGTATATATATATATCCCCGAAAAGACAACGACTTTTTTTACTTAATACTCGAGAGTAAAAACTCTTAAGAGTAAAACTCCGTCATCATATTAAGCTTAAAAAAAAAAAAAAAGAAAATTTAAACAAGCAATAGGCGGGTTGTTAAATCATCGATGTATTTATAATACATCTCATCCCTACGAAAAGTCCCGTCTTATATTGCAATTAGTTTAAATTTTTCTTTTAAAAAAAAAAAAAAGAAAAACGTCATAAAAGGTAAAAAAAAAAAAAAAAAAAAAGAAAGGCCACTACTTCAAAAGCGATACGGTCGGTAAAATTTGCGAATAATCATCGACGGTTTCGTAATCAGTGAACCTCGAAACTGCAATCTAGTCATTAACCGTCTCATCTGCAAAAGGTCTCGACCTATATTACAATTTTTAAAAAGAATAGCGATATAGGTGAAACCTTTTGCAGATAATATGAGACGGTTAATGACTAGATTACAGTTTCGAGGTT